GTGTAGGCAGGTGCTGTACAAACATCATAATACAATTCAATTACCACAGCTTAACCCTGACCAGCAACACACCTGCTATTCTAATCTGGACCACTTGTGCAGAGATTGCTACTCATTTGAAACGGTGTGATGGACAACTGAGGACTAAAGGACGAATGTTACATTCACTCACATTGTAAGCTTCTCAGAGTAGGGACTATCTTATTATTTGTTTGTACAGCACAATGAATCCCTGTCCTGATTGGCACCGTTGGGCACAACTGTAATATAGATACTACTAATAATGGTAACCTAAATTAAAGACTCTGAATTTAGGCCTCCAGAGGTGAAAAGCTAGTATACTAACCCAGTGTGTCATTTACCCTGACTTTCCCCATGATTCAAAACTTTGAATGTTGTGCAAATCTAATGGTGTATAGAGGAAATTGCCTGTTCAGAAAAATCCCTGTTCAGAGAATTCCATTAGAGATAAGTGTTCGTTGCCACCACCACACCCCAATATTTGGAGCTGAATGTGAGAAAAGAGCACTTATATACCCCTGATATATAATACTATACTATAAATATATTTTAGCATTCCTTTTATTTATATACAATACTAGTACAGTTAATTAATGAATGACTAAGAAGTGGATTAAAATGCTTGTCTTGTTTATATGGTAGGGTAATGCACTCTATAGGGTTGTGATTTCTAAAGCGCACTGCCATGTTGTGCATTAATTGGTCCATGCAGACCCTGCTGGTGCACTTTAATGTAGTGCTGTTTAAAACTAAAGGTTTTCTAGTCTAGTGCACACCAGCATGGCCTAGATCAGAGGTGGGAAAACTATGGCTCGTGGGCCACATCTGGCCTGCGGGACCCCCCTGCCCGGCCCCTGAGGTCCCAGCTGGGGAGGCTATCCCCGGCCCCTCCCCCGCAGCCTCAGCTTGCTTCTCCATCGGCCCAATGCTCTGGACGGCAGGGCTGCGAGCTTCTGGGGCAGCGCAGCTGCAGAGCCCAGCCTGACCCGGTGCTCTGTCTGCACGGTGGCGACAGCGTGGCTGGCTCCAGCCGGGCGGTGCAGTTGTAGCACCGCCAGCCAGCAGTGCTCCAGGCAGTGTGGTAAGGGGGCAAAGAGTGGGGAGGTTGGATAGAGGGCAGGGGGTGAGGGTGTGAATAGGGGTTGGGGCAGTCAGAGGGCAGGGAACAGGAGGGTTGAATGGGGAGGGGCGTTCCGGGGGGGCGGGCGTTCCGGGGGGGCAGTCAGGAATGAGAGGAGGGGTTGGATGAGGCAGCGGGGGACAGTCAGGGGCAGGGGTCCCAGGGCAGTCAGGGGACAGAGAGAAGGGGTGGTTGGATGGGGCATCAGTCCCGGGGGGGCCGTCAGGAATGAGAGGAAGGGTTGGCTGGGGTGGCGGGGGGCAGTCAGGGGCGGGGGTTCTCAGGGTGGTCAGGGGACAGGGAGCGGAGTGTGTGTGGATGAGGCAGGGGTCCCGGGGGGCTGTCGGGGAACAGGGGGTTTGGATGGGGCAGGAGTCCCAGGGGGGACAGATGGGGAGGGCGGCCCCCACCCCTATCCGGTCCTCCATACAATTTCTGAAACCTGATGCAGCCCTCGGGCCAAAATTTTTGCCTGCCCCTGGTCTAGACAGACCAATTAATGCACAACATGTTAGTGCGCAGTAGAGCACTTTATTTCAGTGTATAGACAAGCCCGAAGTCTTCCTGTTCTGACGTTAAATATTTCTAGACCAGCATGTTTTAAAAGAATAATTTTGCTAGTGATAGACAGTGGTATTATGACACCACACTGAAGACCCAAACTCAGCAGTGATGTTAGGTTTTTTAGTCCTTGAGTTACTGAAGTGAAAGGACAAGATGCTGATTACATTTAATTCTGGTGAAAATATGGAGTAACTCCATTTACTTCAATGGAGTTGGTCCAGATTTATAGTTGTGATATCAAGATCAGAATCTGGGCCATGTTGTGGAGTGGATAGGTGACTGGCTATGTCTTTAGTGTGAGGGAGCAGATAAAATGACATTATTATTACTATGTATTTGTATTACTGTGGCACCTTATGTCTTCTCCATACAGTAACTCCTCGCTTAACGTTGTAGTTATGGTCCTGAAAATTGTGACTTTAAGTGAAATGATGTTAAGCGAATCCAATTTCCCCATAAGAATTAATGTAAATGGGGGGGTTAGGTTCCAGGGAAATTTTTTTCACCAGACAAAAGACTATATTATTAATACACACACACACACACACACAGTATAAGTTTTAAACAAACAATTTAATACTATACACAGCAATGATGCTCGTGAAGCTTGGTTGAGGTGGTGAAGTCAGAAGGTGGAAGAGGATGCGATATTTCCCAGGGAATGTCTTGCTGCTAAATGATGAATTAGCACTCCGCTGAGCCCTCAAGAGTTAACAGATTGTTGTTAATGTAGCCTCACACTCTACAAGGCAGCACAAATGGAGGGAGGGGAGACAGCATGGCAGACAGAGACACACACACTGTGTGTGTGTGCGAGAGAGAGAGAGAGGAGGGGAGCTGATGGGAGGCTGCAGGTCCACCCTGGGTCCACGCCCCCACGCGCCAG